ATTATATTTACAATATATTTGTTTAAGCGATATACATCATACATATACATATTTGGTACCAGTGACCAAAAATATTAGGAACCAAAAGTAGACGTCTATTAGTGAACTAGTTCTCTTAGGGTTTGAGAGATAATTAGTTGAATGTTTAAAGTGTTAGAAAAGCAATATATTTCGTGTCATACATTAAATTCAACAGTTCACTGTTCTTTGTGAAAACTTGGATCCCCACATTTATTATTATTAAGAATTTTGTTATTTGCAGACAACTTACAAATGCCAGAAAGTAGAAGGAAAGCAGAGGAGAGAAAAATTAAAAATGCCTGGAGTAAAAATGTCTGCGGAATTTATTGCTTAATTTACCTTGAAATAAATTTAATTTTAAATTTTTGCATAAAGAAAATTTCAGACATAAGTAGTAGAGAAAACAGAATAAAAAAATTTAAATTGAAAATTAAAAGTTAATTAAAAAAATAATTTTTGTAAATATACATATATATATATATACAATATATGCTTCTTTTTGAATTTCGATGGAAAAAATTATAAATACAATATTTTTTAAGACAAATTTAAAATGAAAGTATTGAAAAGTCATGATTGGCAAATAACGGTTTGATTTGGTAGGCAAAAATGCATATATACACACACTAGTCTGCATATGAATCTATTCAAAAAGAAATTTAATTAGAACTATTACCATTTTAACTTTAACAAAGCTAGATTGTTCCATAAGTTTGGTCTTCCATTTGAAAGAATTTTTCTATTCAACAAGAGAAATCTTTGATTTTTTTTTAATTATTTGAGAAGTATGAAGAAGAAGTAGAGACGAAAAGCCTTAATGGGGGCTCATATGAGATGATTTTACTCTTCGTTCTTCGAAACTGTCAATGGAACAGATCTTCAAAACTTGGCGGCCGCGGTAGCCAAGTGGCTAGCATTGCCTACTGCCATTTGGAAGGTTTGGGTTCAATTGCTGGTATCGCAATAATATCCAAAAAATTATAGAAAATTTATTTAAATAAAAAGTTGAGCTAAATTTTCTAATTGTGGTCGCCCCTCGGCAGGGAATGTCAACCCCTCCGAATTTATTTCTAATATAAAATAAAAGGTCCTCATAGAAAACCATCAGCCCTTCGGAGGTGGTTGGTATAATTGTAGGTCCCTCCATTTGTCAAGTAGCGAAAACCACAAATTGCTGGAGGAGCTCGACCGAAAAACTCTTCAGCGGTTACAAAGCGTCAAATATATGTATATAACAAAAATATTGAATTCATACCAACAATCCAGGGCTAAACCTATAACGAAATAAGATTTGTTTTGACAATTGCTCTAACGCTAATGTTTCCAAATGTTTTAGCCGAAACTATAGAAATTCTTCGATTAACGTGAAATTTATCGGTACGATGCAGCCCTGAAATTTTCAAATAAAACCTCCTTACCTTACAAGAAGCAATCACTTGCAAGTCCCATAAATTTACGACATCTCTTACTATACTCTACACATTGTGAAGAAGGTGCTAATTGAATAACAAAAGCGTCCATATCACTTAAAGTAATGAATAAGATATTTATATCCTTTTTTACACATTCCCCAACAGCAACAAAGTGTTTGGCACGCGACTAAGCAAACAATTAACAATTCACATTTGTGTAAACCACCATCTAAACACAACAACAATGGCATATACCCGTGCAACAACGCGAAATGTGTACACCGCAAGCAATGCCACCGCACCTACATGTGCTAATACATATACATAGTATACACGTAAGTATGTATGTATGCATGCGTGTACTCGTATAAATAAACAGTGGAGATGAAGCAATTCGCGGTAGGTGTATCTGCATAAGAGTGAGTGCCAAAAGGTATTTCGTGTGCAAATTACCACTTGAAGCGGTCGGCGTGCCGCTAATCAAGATACTCGACTACAAGCAACACTCAATTCGGGGCCACTACAAAGGTGAACATAAAATAAACAATCAGCAAGCGCACTTAAACATACATACAAATATACATATGTAGGTACTTGTGGACTTAGCCAAAGATGGTTTTAACATGAAGAGAGAGAATAGGTTTGTACACATGTAAATACATATCCATGCATGTATGTTTGTATGTATTATGCAATGACATAAACGCATATTCGGCTATAAGCTAAATACTACCGATTGTATTGGTTACCAACAGCCGGCGGTTATGATGAAAGTGGGCGTTAAGGTGCACTACAGCGCTTGGGTGCATGCATACATGCACATATTGATACGGACGTACATTTATATTAATCTAAGTAAGCTCTTGTAGTAGTTGCAGTTGCAGTTGTTTGTGTGAGTTGATTACACATCTGTGTGTGAGAGTGTGTGAGTATGCAAGCAATACTCGGAATGGCAATTAAGTAATTGAACGTGCACGCAGCCGCATTGTATGTGGTGGCGACATAGACAGCATCTCTCTGCCTCCTCACCCCACCATACGACATCATGCTGCATCTCACAGCATACCAGGCAGCGCACTGTACCATTTCTGTTCACTGACCAACAGCTATGATAGTAGCCAGCCGGCAGGCAATAAATGTTAGCGCCACACGCATCACAGTGGTATGCATTCTTTAACTTTTGGTGAGGTGTGAAATTTTGTTCACGATTGACTTCTTACAGAAAATATCTAATGTATGTAAATAGTTCGTAAATAACATATGTTGTAGCAGCACAATCTTGTCGGTTCCGGCCAATAATCAATTCAGTATAAAAATTATCTTATCTCGTCGTTCTGATCCGATGGACATAAATTTGGGTTGATCCTTCTTCGCCTGATACTTACATTCGCCTAAGCAAATGTCATGTTCATTAATACAAAAATTTAGTAGAACTTCAGTTTCCCTTGAAATATCGCTTAAACTGATATACAGTTTGGGTTCACGCTACGTTGTGGAGACATCAAAAGTCGGGAAATTCTTCGAAAATATGCGGATTTCATTTTGGATCAAGAAAGTGATCTGCTGGACATATTGACTTTACAGCTTTATGTTGAGCTGATGATCGCTAATACAATATCGAGGATAAGCTGAGTTGTTTATTGTAAGGACTTCCGCCGGTATGTTTGCTTGAGGCCGCCCGACTATTACGAATTTCGATTAGCGGTTGTTGGCTTGAGTAGTTACAAAGCGAATCGAGGCGATTATCTACCGGCTGAGCTATTTTAAAATGGTGGCGAAGAATGGACAAGTTGTATACATCATGTTTTTTTACAGAATATGGTCAAACGATAACCCGATCTATATCTAAGCTTTCAATTGCATTAGTAATTGAGGGATAAGTGCTACCTTGGTGTATTGTGTGTACGACTAGAGCCCCCAGCTTTATCAGGCTTAAAATCTGCTACATCCATCATGGGTCAATTCTTGAAAACAGAATCAACAAGCACGATCAACAGCATCAGAAGGAGTTGGTTATGTCATTATATCTATATAGAGTATGACAGTGTAAGCTGACGCTGAGGAAACTCAAAGCTCCATCGGAATTAGGAAAGTTTTCTCTGAATCCTTCGTCAGCCAACGCGCTACAATTTTAGCTTTCTCGTCACTGTTGAAGCCTGAACAAGGTCGATATTTGATGAGTCGGTTCGGGAAGTTTGCAAGAGAAAAATTATGACATTGTCGTTATTCAGCAAAGGAAGAGACAGCAGCTTCGCTGGCTACGTCAATGAAAGCGTTCCAATTTTGAAAGCATAGGAAGAGAAAGGTCTCAACTCCGTTGGGAGGATCAGGTCTAGAGCGAGGTGGAGAGCGAGGTAGAGAGCGAGGTGGAGAGCGAGGTGGTTTCTTTTGGTATTTCCATTTGCAAAAAGAATGAACGAATGACACGCTACTTCTGATTCGGCTAAAATCCAATAGTAAAGTATCGTCGATGAAAACGATCTGAAAGTTTGCAAGAGAACAGTTTTTCGAAAGTTTTAATGTGCAAAATGTAATGCAAATTAAGGGGCTTAACTAAATGGGGTGTCCGAATGCAAGAAAAAACTTCAGCTTGGAAATATTCCTTGGCCGCTTGTAGAAGAAGGTGAAGTGGAAGAACGTTGCATTCCATTGGAAGCAAAAGGTGAAAACAGACTTGACTCACTTGGTATCTCCAATTGTCATTTAATACTCTATGAATGCGGATTCTGCTGTTATCCCCCAAACGGCGTCTACGCCAATTGATTAGAAGAAGCAGTTGGTACAAACAAAGTAAGCTCGTCACTCTGAACCCATCGGTTGAAATTTTGCGAAACGTTCACTATTTTCCCAACGAAATACCACTGTGATTATTTGTAAACTCATATATATGTATGTGCATATGTGCACATGTATCATCAGTAACCAACCGAGTGTGGTCAGCCTAATGGCATAAAACGTAACTGCGATACGACTAACTACTATTTTACTACTTTGTGTTGTGGCAAGCTTTAAGCGTCACATTGCGTATAAGCACTCACCTGTATACATGTGTATGTATGTATGTTTATAAATATATGGTTGCTTGTTTAGCAACTTACAAAGTACAGTGTATGTTTATATAATATATATATGTATATACATGTGTATGTATGTGATGTTTGTGGTGGCAAATGAAGGTGTAAGCAGAACATCAGTTTATAGGCCAATGAATTTGTTTTAGGGTCGACGTTAAATGCGAAAAGGTGCGAAAGGAAGAGGTGTGTCATTGCATAACGCTTTATAACCCCATCTAAAGTGTAGAGACTTAGTTGTAACTTATTGCGTTCTTGTGTGTATGTGTGTTTTATTTCCGAGAAGGTGTGCCAAATTGTGTGGCTATAAAAAACGGAATCCCTGTGGATTTTGTTAAGCGCCTATTTTTAAATATATTAAATGGTGCTTGCGGCTTGCGGTTTTATTCGAAATAATATTATTTTTTGTCTGCATAAGTACTTATTTAGTATTATTCTTGAAATAAAGGCATTACTTTAATAAATTAATAATTCCATTTAATTTCCGCTTTTACAGTTGTGCTTTAATTGACTGAGTTCATAATCGCGGTGATTATAAGAATAATTATATTAAGCAGCTTGTCATCAGGTCCTCTACGAATCACTCAAAATGTGGCACTGGATGGAAATAGCATTGATATTTCTTATTTTTCAAGGTAAGTTATTGTATGAGTTCACTAAGAAGAGCTAAAATGTAATGAAAAAATAAATAAATCAACGACTTCGGTGACGTATTTGGATATGTCAGATAAGAACTTAAATATTTTTTATATCTGACTTCAAAGACAATTATTACCTTTTCTCATAAAAATATTACAATATTTTTCTTATATTTTAATATTTTATTTCTTTATTTAATATTGTAAAATATTTGGATATGTCCAAGCTGAGCTGATCCTCCAATTTGTGGTTTTGCGTCTTGATGTGTCCGCTTCCTCCACAGCGTAAAGGATTAAGGCGTAGAAGATTTATATTTTTAATAAAAATGTTTTGCCTGTTAATCATTTAATTTTTTAAACAATCACATGCATATATGTAACGACACATCAGAGCATTTGAAAGCGATTTTGAAACTTAAATTTTGTTTTTCCCAAAACTATGTATTTGAGTCGGTGTCCAAGACTTCTCCGGAACGGCTGAACCGTGAACAGTATTTTCTCGTACTTAATAGAAGCTTTTCCATTATCGATAAACAAATTTTTAAACCCAAGATTGTACATTACTTTAACGAAATTCATTTGATCTTTTAATTTATTATGATTCACTTCGAAAATACAATGGTCACCGCCAAAACGCTTTTTTTGGGAGGAGTCTCTGGGGATTTACTGTAGCATCTTTAAAAACTATTATTTTTATGAATATAAAATTGCTAAATTCTTCTAAAAGGTGCCAAAATTTCTGTATAAATTCTCAAAACAATAAAGTTAAAAGTTTCCTCGTGAAAAATGTTTGAAAAACATCATTTTTTAGATCTCCTAACTAGATGTAACCTTTTAAGCATTAAACATTTTGGGTACGACAAGCTCCCTTGGTATTTTCTTATGATCACAATGATTTCGAAAGTGCGGACAATGGTTAGTGCTGCCACCAAAGCAAAAAATGTGCATTCTGCGGCAGCCGGAATAGCCGAGGAATTGAGAGTACGTACTGCCGTTAAGAAATACAATATTCAGAAATTAGTTTTCCTAGTAGCAATCGCCCCACGGCAGGGAATAAAAAACCCTCTGAATATTTCTGACATAAAATTACTGTAGTGAAATAATTATAGCTTTCTTATATTGGTACACTTCTGAGAGTAGGATATCAGAATTAATGAAAAACTTTATTTTGCGGACAAGCAACCGCCGTTGTCACACTCTGTTATCCCGTAATAGCGGAAGTATTTAAGTCGTTATTCGATGATAATGAGAGCTGATTCACTTAAGTGTTTCGACTCCCTTCACCTCGACAGGCTCGTTTCGACAGATTTATGTTCGAATTATGTATTTATTTTAATGAGTAAATGTACATTGAAAGTAAATGAGGCGAACAGAAAATTCATTAAAGTGTTAAAAAAAATTGTTTATTATATAATATCAGGTGTATAGCTTTGCTTCCGCCGTTTTCCAGGTGGCTGTACCGGCTGAGGCTGGTTGAAATACATAGAGAATAATGCATTTAAAATGAGAGTGAACAGTGCCTAACGAATTGTCATCGCCGTTTCAGTGACAGTTGTTCTTGTTTTCCTATTATTCACGCTCCAAAATATCCGTTTATGTGCCTAATACTCACCATTTGCGGGAAGTTTTACTTTTCTGTTACAATTCGAAAAAAAAATTCAGCTGAAGCACATCGAATGCTCTCAGAAACTGACGGTGATGCTGCTCTGAATGAAAGAACGTGTCGGGAGTGGTTTCAAAGTTTTAAAAATGGTGATTTCGATGTCGAAGACAAACATGGTGGTGGAAGAGAAAAAACCTTCAAAGATGAACTACTATTGTAGAAGCATTGCTTGATGAAGAAGCTCTTAAAACCGGGTGAAACCATCACAGGAGATCGCTACCGAACGCAACTGATGCAAAGTCATCCTCCAACACGACAATGTTCGGCCTCACTTCGCAAAAGTGGTAAAAAAAGTACCTGGAAACGCTGAAATGGGAAGCCTTGCCCCACCCGCCGTATTCCCCAGATGTCGCCCCTTTTGACTTCCACCTATTCCGTTCGATGGTACACGGCCTGGCAGATCAACATTTTAAATCCTTCGAAGAATTGGAAAAATGGATTGCTACATGGATAGCGTCAAAAGAGGACTCCTTTTTTCGAGCCAGGATCCGGAAATTGCCGAGAAGATGGGAGAAAGTTCGAAGGACAATACTTTGAATAATATATCTGTAAGCACTTTTTCGCAATAAAGCTTTAAACTTTGGGAAAAAACGGCGGGAGGAAAGTTGTATACCTGATATATAATATTGTTAATTATATAATATAATTAATTTAAAATTTTGTTAAACTTCACAAAATCATAACAACAAAAATTAAAAATAATTCGGATACTTTATAAGTTTTCATTCTGGCATACTCTCGGCTCGCTGCGCCCTGTATTCAGAATTTCATCTGTCAAACTAAGCAAGGCAGGTTTTTCGTGGATCAGCCTGTATAATTTGCTGTTTTCATATTCCGGCAGTTTTCAAAAAACTGTACCATGAGAAGCTTGCCGATTAAGTTCGACGCATTTCGGTTGCCGCTTTGTCGTAGCAAAATTGTTGCATGTTTTATTTCCAAAAAATATCTGTTCACTTTGCTCCCGTTGCCGATTTATTTAAAACGATTTTAGCTTCTTCTGCTGCTAAGTTGTTGTTGGGCATATCAAGTTATATACAGTATACGTACATATGTATTTATTTAAAAATACATATAAATGTTTGTCTTATTTTTGTAGCATATGCAGTATTTATTTATTTGCGCAAATAACGGAATGCGGTCCAAGTCAACATACACACCTACATATATATGTGTACGTATAAAAGATATAATATATATGTACATAAGATCATGCATAAATACAAATATATATATATTTTTGTATTTCGCACCGCGACGTGCGCCTCAGTAAGATATTCATTATTGTGTTAATACCATAATGTAGACATAATTGTTGTTGCGGTTTGGCTCACTGCCGCAATCTAATAATTCTTTCATGTATTCGCATGTGCGGTATGTTTGTTTAATTGCTGTGGGAAATAAATAAATAAATAGTATAGTTGTACATGCATAATATACAATAAAAAAATAAAAGCGACAAAAACAAACACCAACACACGCGCACACTCACTGACGCAGACTCAGTTGCACAGGTAAACAAATTATGATTTTCTGTTTGCGAACCGAAGTTTGCTTTGGCTGAAATAATAATAGAATTAATGCAGTTGATTGTGTGCAGGTGCATATGTATATGTATTTGTTGTTGGTTGAAAGCGAGAGAGTACAAATATTTTAATATTCTATGAAGCGTAAACTAAATACGAAAATATGAAACTGATTACAAAATCAGCAATACGTACAAACAAACATACGCACATACGTGCTTACAAGCATAGATGGACCGAAGTAAATATGTTGGATTTTACCAGAAGTCATTGGCAGTTCCGGAGTTATTTATATTTAGGTATTATGAATGTCTAATGCTTTTTTGTATACCACTGGGCATTTAGGTATTCCGAAAACAATGTTTTCCGAAATGTCTAGGGAAACAACTGAATGTTTGAAATAGAAGATAAAATTTAATGTATTACATATTCTAATTTTAATTTTATAATATTTTACTATACAAGATTTTATTTTATGTGTTTTGTTTTACTATTTTGGTTTATTTTGTTTTTATTTTTTTATATTTTTTCAAGTTCAAACATCTGAATTTTTTGTTATCATTTTATTTTATTTTTATTTTAATTTATTTTATTTTATTTTATTTTATTTTATTTTATTTTATTTTATTTTATTTTATTTTATTTTATTTTATTTTATTTTATTTTATTTTATTTTCATTTTATTTTACTTGATTTTTTTTTATTTTATTTGATTTCATATTGTTTTATGTTATTTTATTTTATTTTACCTTATGTTTTATTATCGTTCTATTATATTCTATTCTATTTCATTTTACTAAATTTTTTTGTTTTTTTTTTTAATACAGTTTTTTTTATAAATATTTTTTCTTTTTTTAATGCCGTGCTATTTTGGTCGCACATATTCGAACAAAAGGATTCACAAGTAAGCTTTTTATCAAGTCTTTCAACCTGGTCTCGTTAAATTGCTTTTATGTTTTCCACCTGCAAATTTCTCATTCGATACTGAAAATTAAAAAAAAATTCCTACATAAAAATAAAATAAACATTAAGTATGAATTTGATAAGAAAATATGTGTATAGTTGAAAGAGTGGCTCTGGTTCACTTAAAGACAACCAAAGAAGATATACTTTAGCTGCTTCCAATATGTATGTAGCACCGCCGATAAAAACAGACGCATTAACATTTTTACGATGTGCTCGTGTTCTCACGTACATACGTACCTATAACCGTATGCGCCCACACATATATAGTAACTCTCTGATGCACAATGCAACGTTTTGGTGCAGTAAACCAAATGTTTCGGTGCAATTGCGCTTTCATGTTTGTTTTTCCAAAAACAAAGCTCTCTGAATGCACTATAAAATGCTCACTGGGTAATGTGCAACGTCTGAGCGCCATACCTACTTGGATATATCCATATGTATCTGCATTAACCATATAGTACTAACTATAAAATGCTACTGCTCTGCGATTTTCATCTGCAACATATTGCAGCACTCAATGTCCCTCGATCTCAATATAAGAGAGCGCATAAAATTCTATTATGTTGCACGAGATGTGGACAAATGGTTAATATAGCACGTTGCATTTCCTTACAGAAATATACTATATATGTTTGTACGCCCATGCACATATGTACATACATATGTATGTAATTTAGTACCAAAGAAAATGCAGCAGCGTAGACTCGAAAATATTGGCTGGCGCGTCGCTATGCGCCGTATTCCCATGCCCGCATGGCTGATGAGCATAAAGAATGATTCGTGGCGAAGAATGAACGCAGAAGTCAGAGAAAAATTAAAAAAAAAAAAAAAAAAAAAAAAAAAAA